TAAATCCCTTGATGCCTACGTGAGCAAGTCTATTATGCCATGTATGTGTGTGATCAATCTTGGCAGAAGAGATAGAGAAGTTCAAACCTCTAATCACTTCCCCAGTAGATATATATATATATATATATATCATTTTTCTTAATTCCCTTAATGGAAACTAAAGCACCCTTGATCATTTTTAGCATACCATTTCCAATTTTACCATTAAAGTCATCCTTTTTATGTCTCCCTACTGAAATCAGAGTCTTAGATAATTTAGGAATATATCTAACATTCTTTAACGTGTACACAAAACTTGTGTCAAATTTTACGTTTATATCACCAATTCCAGCAATAGTATAGGCAAAGTTATCACACAACACAACATGCCCAACATTAGATTAGGCAATTTATAAAACCAATTTTTCTCAGATGTCACATGAAAAGATGTACTAGAGTCAAGTATCCACTCATGCATGCGGGAATTAGTAGTTATATTTAATTCGGCAGTATATGCAACGGGACTTGTAATGACATAAACCTCACCACCATTTATATCGGAAGTAGATGCTAACAAATTGACCTCATCTCTTTCCTTAACCTTTAGCTTACCCTTCTCTCCTTATGACAATCCTTTATAAAATACCCCGTGTTTCCACAACCATAGCATTTTCTTGCCTTAGTCCTAGATTTTGATCTAGACCTACCTTTGCTCTTCTTCTTCCATCCATTACCACTTGACTCGCCATTAGTTTGATATCCATCATGACTATTTTGCCTAAATTGAGTTCTACCCCACATCATATGTACCTCGCCTCACCACCGGAGGCGCTTCCACCTACTGGTTATGGGTCCGACCTTCGTTCGTCCAATGGAGGTCGGAATAAGCAATTGTAGGTTTAGCCCCCTTTTGAAAATCGCGAACCCGTCCCCGTTTGGTCGGAATAAGCAATTGTAGGTTCAGCCCCCTTTTGAAAATCTCGAACCCATCCCCGGTTATGGTCGATTTCTCATTGGAGAAGATGACTGGTGCTCTGATACCAAATGTGAGACCAAAATCCAGCAATACCCAAGTGATACTGGGCTCAGTTTCCACCAAAGTTGACACCACCACTCTGTAGACACACCCAAATCTCTCTTTTCTTCTTCTCACCTACGGTTGCTACTCATACCCACAAAGAGTTGGCCAAGATGAGATCAATATAGTCCAAGAGAAACCACACAGGCTAGTTGAGAGAAAGAGGTCAAGAGTTAGCCAAGAAGAACTCACAGAGAGAAATAAAGAAGACGATCATTTTGGAGGCGTGAAGGGAGCCAAGAGTTATAGCCCAAAGGTGTGACCATATATGGTAAGTTAGGGTAGGTTAACTTAGTGGTCCAAAAGAGGCTTAACACAAAATATATTGGGCTCCAAATGAATATCGTAGCCGTCCAAGTAAATGGGACGGGCCACGAGCAATACTATTAAAATAGGTTGCTTCTAATGGCCCGTAGAAAATTGGATTGGGTTGTCTCGATGGTAGTGTCGACATAAGTTCAATCATATGGCCAACGCCGATTGATAATAAATAAAATCGAGGTTACATCATTGCTCGAGAGGTCGTTTGACAACAAATTGCCTAACAGACTGAAACCAAAAAGCAGAAAATGGCGGCAAGATGATCCATATGGCTATCCAGCCCACTCAATTGCCATCCGAAATTAGTGTTCTAAAGGAGCAAGGCTCAAGCGAAAGGTTACGCTTTTTAAATTTTTTTCCTTTCATTAAAAACCTTTTATTTGGCTTTAGTTTCGAACTTTTAAATAACTTCATCTGTGCAAAAGTGAAAAATGAAAACACATTAGAAAATTTCATGCAAGACTTGTCGAGTTGCAAATTGAAATTATGAAAAATAGTTTAGTTTTTGCATTTCAAAAACTTGAAATTATACATTTCACTAAATGTAGGAATTATCAAATAAATATAGTATTTTATAATTTTAAATGTTTGGTATATACTATTTTAATTACTAAATAATTTTCAAAATGATTACAAATTTAAAATAATATTAAAAATAAGAAAATGCTTTTTTTACGCTTAGGCCTCATCTAAAATTACTTAGGTTTGTAAAGTTTGAAGTTTGTCATCCACGCTTAATCACGTTTTACGCTTTTTAGAACACGGGTTAAAATCGCTACTTGAAAATGTGACTAACATATTAAGAGTTTGTGTTTGTGACACATGGATGGTTTAGAGTCATTGGATTAGCTTCTGGATGGTTCAACCAGTTAAAAAGTTCGATTTCATCTCATTCTAGAGTATAGGAAAATCCTAGAATGCTTTCGGCTATGCGATGTCCTCTATTTGTTCTTCATTTATTTTCTTCAATATATTCTTAGTGAATATTTGTAAAAGAGGAAATTTTTTTGAGTGTGTTGATGAACAATAACCTCATCTTTATGAAATATTCTAAAAGTTGTATATTTATGGGCATGATTGTAGCTTTATCGTTCTCCGAGTGAGAACTTGTCCTACGTACAATATGTCCTCATGCCTCATTTTTGAAGTTGTGCTAGTGAATTTGGGTATAATCCTTAATGGATGCTCAACAATGAAATTAAGTATTTAAAGATGTCACCAAGCCTTCGGGACTTAGGACGAAAATCTTGTGCTCTTGTTTATTGTTAGGACCTTCCTCTTGCTGCTCACGCTGATTCCCGGGCTCAGTTAACCATTAAAAACCGAGTTCAACATCAAAACTGGAACGACCCATCCGCCGGCGCCTCTTCTTCCTATGGTTGCTTTCTTCTCTTGCTTAATTGATTCAATCCACACACTTAGGATGGATACCACTCAGGTAAGGTTCACAAAGACTCAAGCAATTTGGGTGGAGAAGAAATCACGAAGGAGATGAAGGCAGAAGAACTCGGCAGTTTCTCACGGCTTGGACACGGTTGGACGGGTTCAACTTATGGACGGTACCAACAAAGGCAAAGACACCAATATATATAGTAAGTCAAGTGGCCAACATAAGGTAAGTCGGGATATGGTAAGTAGGCTCGACTAGGGTTAACTTCCAATGGAAGAAATCAACAAGCCACAAAGAATATTAGCCGTCCAATAGGTAAGGCAACGTTCGGTCGGTTCATCCATTATTCGATGTTGAATTATCGTTCAGTCATTTATGTCGACTGACAAAATTGGTTCTCATCATCGCCCGGGGGTCGTTTGACAACATAATGTCTAACATTTATATTTTTTTGTTTCATCATTTATGTTGTGTTTGTAGTAAGCCTGTCGTGGCCCAACTGTTTTTATCATTGGAAGCATCTTTTTTTTTTTTTTAATCATCTCTCGTCACTTTTTCGAAAAGTTTGACGTGTAAAATGATCAAAAAGAAACCACAACGATCTTTTTATCCAATTTTGGACGGACTTTTCATATTCAGAATGTTGAACTAAAAACTAAATAACTAATTTAACTGTTAGATTATGCTTTGTCTTATATTAAACATGGTCCATGTGCTTCTATCCCATGTATAGACGCAATCGAAATAAGTCATTTACTTGACAAAGTTACCAAATGGCATGATAAGATGATTCCTTAATTAGTCATATGACAGCCACAGTACTAATTAATTTGAAAGAAATTAAACTTTATCGAAACCTCTCATTTCACGTGTGAATTTTGAGAATTAATTAGTAGTACATATAGGGATGGCAATGGACCGAGTCGGCCAACCAGCTAAACTCGAGCTCGAGGGCCGAGCTGAGCCAACGAGCCGCTTGCGAACTTGTGATTTTTTAAATTTTTTTTGGGGGTAAATTTCCACATTTTCTGACGAGCCCACGAAAACTTTGGCTCGTGGGATTGAGCCCCCTGCTTGACGAGCCCGAGCCACCCACAAGCCAAGCGGTCGAGCCGATGAGCCACTTGACTCGTTTGACATCCCTAAGTACATATGTGCGCTCTAGTTAAAAGATGGCTCCAAGTAACTCTTGACATACGTGATCACTAGGAAGCTAAGTTATACAAATCAAAATCAATTGCATGATGTGATATCATATATATAGTCTTTGCATTCAATGTAAGCCCATCCCTAATCTTTCCCCCAACATATTGCAACATTATTTTTCTATAATTGAATCAAATTAGTGAACTAACCAACATTCCTAACTGCAAAACGTAAGGAAGTAATTATCATATTACCAAGTGACAAGTGTCCCCTTTTAGGCGTCAAACATCACATGTAACGCTGTAAATGACTTCTCACACGTCCGCTATTTCATTACAATTTTGCAAGTTTTAGTAACCATGGTATGACGATATGGTAGAAACAAATTCATTAATTTAATTCTTTATGGTAGGCTCAAATAGCCACGGGATAACGATTTATCATTTTGCCTATGGCATCATGGTTGGTTACTTGGGGATATCAGGGTCGAAGTGTTGCTCGTGCTAATGCAAGAGTCAATACTTGCCAAAATTGTGCCAACTATTTCTAACATTTTTTGTAATTGGTAAAAACAAGAAAATCTATTATTTTATATAATATTAATAGGTTTATATAAATATCTATATGTACGATTATTTTTTAAAGTGCACAATGCAATCATATAAATTCATATACTACATGTACTAAAACTGCATTACAATACGAACAAATTGATAATAGGAAGAGATTTTCGACAGCGAAGCAGTTTTTATTGTTAAATTTTTTTTTCCAACAATAAGTATTATAATTTGGTAGTTAAAGGTATGTTATCAAATTGAAGTTTCAACTTGCATATGTATAGAAGGTGTCGTAATTCATTATGTACGTATGCAAGACTAATGTAGTTTACATGCAAGCATTGAGGCATGGAGCAAAAGTCAGCAACTGTTTTTAAACAGACCTTTCGTTTAAAATTAGTTAATCTTTCCCATCCCATTTCCATAATATAAGAGTCGTAGAGGACAGGTCCCACCCCAGCCCCACCCCTACTCTATAAATATGCAAAAAAAAAATAACTTTGTTCATCAAAATAAATCTTTACCTCCTATCAAACAATTGATCACTGCACAAACTTTTCTCTGCTAAATAAATATTTGTATCTTGCTATTTACATGCAAAAATGGCTCTTCAAAAGAATATTTTTTCCTTTATTATTTTCATTCTTTCTATAGTTTCGTGTTGTATTAGTCTTCGCGATGATTTACTTGATAATTATCTCCAAGAAGAATCTGGTTATGATTTTCAAGCTTACCGTTCGTATTTTAGCCCCGTTGAAGGCATCAAACTACATAATTCGGCCAAAATAGAGACCGAATATTCTGATTTCAAGAAGTCTCGAATACTTGCAGCGTCAGCTAAGACGATTAATGTACAGAGGTTTGGAGCTAAAGGCGATGGAAGAACTGATGATGGCAAGGTAATTATTCCTTATTTATTTCTATAACAAATTTTAATGATTTATCGAGTTACCCAATAACTAAAGAAAAAATGTTTTGGCAAATCCATTAATATAAAAAAGTCCTTGTGTGTGTGTGTAATCAGATTTAGTTACTAAGTTTTTGCGCTATTTTTATATATTGCGGCCGAAAAGTTTTCATCTTTCTGTTATTAAATTTGTTTCAGGCTTTTCAGAAAGCATGGGAGGAAGCTTGTTCATCCTACTCAGCTGTTAACTTTTTGGTGCCTCAGGGAAAAAATTATCTTCTCAAACCAATTAAATTCTCAGGTCCTTGTAAATCTCAAATAAAAATTCAGGTGAGAAAAAATATACATGGAAAAGGACATCTAAAATTAATTATTTAACAATAAGGAATATTTGAAGGAAAGTATTTATTATATATGCTATTAATTAGAAAATTAACTTGATACAGATTATTGGAACACTGGTAGCTTCTGATGATCGCTCTGACTACAGTAACGATGGAAGGCACTGGCTTCTTTTTGACAGTGTCCAAAATTTAATTGTTGAAGGTGGTGGCACCATCAATGGCAATGGAAATGTGTGGTGGAAAAATTCCTGCAAAATAAATAAAGCTAAGGTATGAATGATTTAATTAAATTAAAGTTTATTCCTGCAGCTAATCTTTCGTTTATCTTTAATTATTAGATCACTTGTCTCTCTATTCTAAAGAAATTTGTATTTTTTTTTTTGTATCATGCAGCCATGCAAGGATGCTCCAACGGTAGGTTCACTTCTTTCTTTTGATGAAGTTATTTTGTGATAGTGCATTCAATATATTTACTCTCTACACTTCTTAAGATGATAGCATTTTTATTTTAAATAAGTCTTGAAAATTGAAATTCATTGAAATTCTGGTAACATGTAAAAGAACAAAAAAAGAAAAAGAAAAAGAAAAAGAAAAAGAAAAAAATTGTTTCTAATTTCCTGTGGCTTTTCAAATATCCATTTTGGTGGAACTTAGCTCGCACGCATCCCTAATTCTTGAGATATTTTATGTTCTTGATGTGAGCCCACAAAATTTACTGCAGGCCTTAACCTTCTACAAGTGCAGAAACTTGGTAGTGAAGAACCTGAAGATCGAAGATTCTCCACAAATTCATCTGTCTTTTGAAAATTGCATGAATGTTGAAGCATCAAATCTTGTGGTGAATGCTCCAGAGAAAAGTCCCAATACTGATGGAATCCATGTTACTAGAACTGAAAACATTCAAATTTCCCATTGTAATATAGGAACAGGTAAATCATTATTTAATGAAAATCAAGTTACATTTTTATTACAGATACAGTTACAATTTTCTCATATTAATTTCGTTGGGTGAGGAAGCTACATATTTAATAAATTTAGAATTTTATTGATTGAACTTTGAAGGATTACAAGGGTAGCTACAACTAACTCTTTTTAATTTGTTTTCGTCACACCACTCGTGAGTTTTATGCACAATTTGCCTCTATTCATAGTGCACAATTCTTGAGATGCTAGCTAGGAAGATTACAAGTCAGTCAAGAAATAATTAAATTAACATTTAAACTTGATGTTCCCTCAAGACTCCTTTCAATGTGTGCACTGCAATTTACCAAGCCTTAATTTAAATGCTTTTATCTTCAATACTTTTAATATACTCTGAGATGCAAATGAATTAATCTGGACTTTCAACAAATTTGTCCAGGTGATGACTGCATTTCAATAGTAAGTGGATCGAAAAAAGTCCTTGCTACGGACATAATTTGTGGACCTGGCCACGGAATCAGGTTAAAAACATCAAAATTTTCAATACAGAAATGTTAAATTTCACTGCCTAATTGTTTTTAATTTTTTGATGTTTCTTGAATGGCTTGGATCAGTATCGGAAGCTTAGGATCTAGAAATTCAGAAGATTATGTCTCAGATGTCGTGTTGAATCGAGCAAAGCTTTCTGGAACAACAAATGGGGTCAGAATTAAAACCTGGCAGGTAAATTTTACTTGGTATCATAGACTCTAAATTCTCTTTTTCGTAGTAAGTTTTTGAAAAATTTCTAATTTTTCAATTCAAAATCAATTGTTTCTAACTCTATGTTAATTGATATGCACAGGGCGGATCTGGAAGTGCAAGTAACATCAAATTTCAAAATGTGGAGATGCATAATGTAAAGAACCCTATAATCATAGACCAAAGCTACTGCGATCAATCGAAACCATGTAAAGAACAGGTAAACTAGGAAACTTAATAAGACTAAATGGAGATAATGAATTAATGTCAATTTTTATGATACAAATATGTTTTATTTATTTATTTCAGAGTTCAGCTGTGCAAGTAAAAAATGTTGTGTATCAAAACATTAAGGGAACAAGTGCTTCGAATGTAGCAATTGATTTTGACTGCAGTAAGAAGTATCCGTGCCAAGGGATTGTGTTACACGATGTGAATTTGGTAGCGGAAGGAGGTGGATCAGCTAAAGCCAAATGCAACAATATCAATTTGAAGAATATCGGAACTGTTACGCCCCGGTGCTCTTAGACAAGTAATGTAACATAAATGCAGGACACATTAGGGTTTTGTAAATTATAGACATACAGTCAAATACATTGCATTTCTTCGTCCTCTATATATTAGATCGCATGGAATTCAAGAAGGTTCTTTCAGTCATGGCTACTCAAAAATTTCAATGAGGTATGACAAGAGTTAATTAAATTCCTTCTGGCCTCCTAGGAAAAGGGTGTTCTTGAAACATGCATTTTTAGAATTAAATTATGATTTAGGAACTTAATTAATATTTAGTTTTGGAGGCAATATTAGAAATACATAAATTTGCTTTATAAGTTACTAATCCTGATTTTCATTTTATATTTCTGCAATTTTCAGGTTTTATGGGTAGTCTGGACTGCAAACACGACTCTTTGTTTTTCATGGATTCTTTGTAGGGATAGCACTATTGATGTATATAGATCTGAAAAATAAAATTCATTCAATATCTGTTTGAAGAAAAATAAGGTCGATTGCCACCTAAAGGATAATATATATCCCTCCTTGTTAGAATTGTAATAATCTTCGCTTATGAATAAAATACACATGATCCTGATGTTTGTATGTTGGAGAATGTTTGCATTTTCTTCTCCACGAATTTGTTGATCTATTTTCCCTCAACCATTTAAATTCTTTTATCAAATTTTGGTTGGCACGAAGTACTTAATGCTTAAAGTTTGGCGATAAATTTGAAGTAAAACATGACCAAAGTAAAACAATGTTACAAATAGGGTGATTTAGATGTCCAACTTCAATGGATCGATTTTTCTAGTCAGCAAACAAAAATTTACGATTAATTTCTTTTTTTCACATGTTAAAATCTCAAAAGTTTTTGACATTTGATGGCAGTCGTCCTCAGCATGTTTTGCTTACTAATTTTTTCCAGTATTTCAATATTATTTTAATATTCATAGACAAAATTTGCAAACAAAAATGTAAGATTCTTTTGTTTGAGGACGAAAAATTTCTTATTTTTTATTGTTTCAATCGCCAAACATCAATTTGACTAATAACCCCTTATCAAAAGTCTAGCTTTTTTAAACAAGTGTTTTTGGGGTTTAATTGAGGCATGTAGTGAGTCTATATATATATATATATATATATATATATATATATATATATTGCAATCCCCCTTAAACGCTCATTCTTAAAAACTAGCCCTGAATTTAAGATTTTCACCAAATTTTTATCATGTAAGCCTTAAACAATTCCCACAAAATTTAGCACATATGGAATTCATATTCATCTTTATATCTCCCTACAAACACGCAACACCCCCAAACTATCTTAGATTTGATCTAAAGATTTATAATTTAGTGGTTATTTGGATTTAGTATCTAATATCCACTATTTTTTGTTGTTCAACCTATTCAAATTATTGAATCAAATCAATCATTCATGATGCAAAACATAAATTGTGTAAGCAAAAATATCATGTTTCGCATGAATAAACATAAATAACCCCAGCATGTTTTTCTATAATTTATAATCTTACACTTGGTTGCCACACAAAAACAATAATTAAACTGAAAATAAATTATTCTATTTTTAATTTAAAAATATTTTTTAAAATATTTTTGATTTTTTTTTCATGTGAACAAACAAACAAAATTGTAAGAACAGATAAAACTCGATTTTAAACCCAAATTTTTCACAGATATTGTCCTCAATACCTAAAAGTATAACAAACAATATATAAAATTATGGGAAAAGAAGGAAATTAAGTACTTCGTCGATATCAATCTGCAGGTGATGAATGGTTGGCATGAAAGTGCTAGATCACTTGCTTTATATTTTTCATTGTTCAATGTGTTCAAGTGTTATGTTTCTTTAAAATAAATAAAAATCAATCATAACATGGAAGCATTTATAATAAGCTCTACACATCCTAAAGGGAAAATGGGGATGAAGAACCTCGATATTACTAAAGGTAATAAAATTTACTAAACTACTAAACCAATTAAATTTACTAATTCTATATTCTAGAAAGCAAAAATAAATAAAATGGTAGAAAATTGGGCCGGTTCCCAATAAGCGCTTATTTATAGTCATTAGTTAGACTTTGGCAATCTGCATCATCGAATTTTGAAGAAAGCTTTTGATTCGTCACTCAATTTGCTTCTTTTGACTTTGCTCCACTTTTCTTGATTCTACAAATCTTAACATTGCCTTCTTCAATTTGATAAGACTTGCTTATTCCATTCTATTCGAAATCAATCACGTTGATTGTATCTCCTCCTCAAGTTTAATTACAGATTCATTTTGGACAATCGGTAAAGTTGAAAGAATGTGTGTTAATTTCATCTTCATTGATTGCAACTTATTCGCTTAGTTAGTTTGTAATTAATTTGTTTTCATCTTTATGCTTTTCTTCAATAATTGATATCTCATCGAGTAGAATAATGGTTCACAATTTAAAATCTATGGGTAATGACAAATTCTTTCCTTTCAACATTTTCAAGTAGATTAACCTCCCCACCTTTTAAATTCATCCCAATGTACAGCATTTCTACATGCATTTTGTTTTCATCCAAGTTGGCAAGTTTATTATAATATTTTGCAAGTATCTCCTAGTTTAATAGAGAATGACCAACTCCCACAAGTATATTTGCAGATACATACTTGTCCACAGGCATGTAGCCTTAATCAAATTTGTTAATTATTAGTTTTCGACATTTTAAATATTGTTTAAAGTGTAGAAGTTTGAACCTCCAAGAGTCCGTGCATGTACACAAGCAGTACCCAGTATAATGTGACCCATAACATAATTCATAATATATGTCTTCTACAAGCATATCGTCATCATCCATGCTGAGATTACTTATTGTAAAAAATTTTGCTCATTTGCTATCATCAAAATCTTGCATATACTATTGAATAGTACCCGAGAAAATATTAAACACAAGAGAGATCAAGATAAATAGCCAAAACTAATGTAATACATTAAGTTTTTTTAAAAAAAAAAAAAAGGTCAAACACAAAAGAAAAAGGGACAAAAGATAAAACAAAAGTGACAGGTGGTGGAAAACTTATACAAATCCAAAACCAATTTGTAAACACACACACACAAAAAGAAAACGGACCAGAGAGAGAGAAGAAGAGAGAAAAGATAAAGAAAAAAAAAAAGAAAAAAAAAAGGAAGGCTTGAATTCCTCAATTTTGAAAGGTAAATAAAAAGTTACTTATTGAAAGGTTGTGTTTGATTTTATAGTTGTTAGATTATTAGATTAAATTCAATCTTATTAAAGGGGTTAAGTATAATAAACTATGAAATTGAGTAAAGTGAAAGAAAAATTAATTTTAGTAATTGAAGAGACTTTAGAAATCGTCTAAACGTGAAAAAATTAAGTTTTGGTATTGCCTATTTAATTATTGAAATTATCTAAAATAGTTAATTGTTAATTTAAAAATTATATTATATTTCAAGCGACAATACGGACATGGATTTTGGCGTATATAGTTCTGTGATTGGAAAAATATAAATATTTTTAAAGTATTTATAAATTAAGTATATTATCAAGGTATGTGCAATTATGTGTTCGATTATATGATTATTATGGAAATCTCTTTTATTATGATACATATGGAATTTCAAAGATTACTTGTGGTACATTTATGACTTGGTATGTGAAATATATGTGATATTAAGATCGATTAGAAAAGTTCCCATGATTATATACTTTTTCTAGTTCACAGAGGGATCTTGGCCGTGTTCTATCATACACGGAGGGTCTTGACCTGATATTAGTCCTGATCATATTCATATAGTTCATAGAATGGGCCTTGATTGTGTTCTAGAATTGATTATGAGAAGTCCTTGAGATCAACTTTCGTTCACGGAGGTTGCCAAATGCCCATAGTGAAAGTTCTTAGCCCGAGGGCAGATTATATATTTCAGTCAGAGGGTACATTTTTAATGGATTTTTCAACACGTTTGATGTGATGAGATTATAACATGGTTGTCAGCTCATATTCATATCATGATTTTAAGATGATATTTTATGACCTTATGTGAACATTTTACTTTTTGGTTATAATTACATGATGGTAACTTGTGAATTACCAAATGATATGAATTTAATTTGCAATAAAAATGTATAAATGAAAAAGTATAATTATTTTTGAACTTCTCCACTGAGCTTTCAACTCATATATTTTTCCACATTTTTCCTTATCAGGCAACAGTTGAGAATCTGGGTATCTTTTGGAGTTGAGCCTTTATTTTAGAATCAGAGCCACACGACAAAGTTTGTTAGTATAACTCACTTCATAGAATATGTAGTCAGTGTTTTGGAACGCATGTTCATGTCTAGATGTGATTTTGCATCACTTATGAATAGTTATAGGGCTCACTATGTATTTTGTATTCCTTTGTACATTTTATTATATTTCTTGGTAAAAGTTGAGGTTTCGGCTTATCTTTATTGTGTTGTGTTATAATTTGAGATTTGTGTGAAATTGATCACAGGTTGGTTAGCCCTGTTTACAGGGGAGATAATGCCGAAATTTTGTTAGTAAAATGATATATAAAAAGTTATATATTGTACTTGTAGTAACTTTGATGGTGGGTCCAACTTTTAGTTGGTATCTATCAACGGCGCATGCTATGTCCGGATCCAGTAGTGTTACACAGGGCGGGATGTGTCAACTAATAGTACAAAAATAAATATAATTTTTTTTGAATACTAAATAAACTAATAAACTTAAATTAAATACTTTTATTCTCCCGCAACAACGCTAAAAATGTGTTCTAATAAAATCCCACAAGCATAGGAGATTGCTATTAAGTAATAAATTTGAGTGAGTTAAAGTACCACCCATAGAAGATAAATTTAATTCAAGTTTACTACTTATGCATGGAATTTGAATTATGTACCACAAAAATGTTTTGATATGATTTAAGTTAAATTAATCTAAGAAAGCTGCAAATGTTTGATTTATATCAAATTATGAATGATTGTATTGGATTTAGAGTCCGCTTATTGTTATATATTTCAATTCTTAATTTCTAATCTAGTTTTGTTTTATGCGTTTTTGACAATCAATAAAGCGAATGTATTTAACTTTCTTTTCTAAAACAACTTAAATCTATCATAATCACAACCCAAATCTATTCCTAATCCAAATTCAAATGACAAAATAAAAAGAAAAATGGAAAAATTTCATCCAAAATTTATAAATGCAAGAAAAAGATGTCACGGTCCAATTCTTATTTTTGATTATCCACTCCGAGCTTTGATTCTTCAAGTTATTGATCTTTCTTGATTCAATCCACATGCTAGATTTGTTCTATTCTCCAACCTATGATGAATTTGCCTCTTGTTCTTAAATGATTTTATGATATGGAAGTGATTTAAGAGGTGAGGGGAAGATGATTCAATGACTGCTCATGTCTTATATTATATAAGTTGAAATTAGGTTTAAAAAAAAATTCGTCTAAGTTTGGTTTCAAAAGAATTTCAATCAAATAAAGAAAGTTACTTTCGCGCTTGCATTGTTATGTCTCTCTGAACAACCGCCAGTATTTTAAGAATATCTTTATCATTCAATATCGAATGGAGGCGATTCAAAGTACTGGAAAGATAA